TATCAAGAACCCGAACTACTCAACTAGCTACAAACACACATTGCTGCAGACATGCATAGCAGTGGGGGCTACAGAGCATAAAATCATTGCATCCTGAAACAATCACTCTCCATCCCACTTCATTTATCCTCCCTATCACCCCATGTCACTGACTGAAGCAGAGTTAACATTGGGAAGCAGAAGCCATTTGCTTTCCTATCTGCCACCAGGAGTTTTAAGGCCACTGAATCTCCTTCCACTGAGGGCTGGTGCCAATGCTGTCTTGTGAAGAAGTAACTATGGAAAACCTACAGCAGGAGGAACAAGAGCAATAGTCATACCAAAAGCAATGAACAGGAGAATCTGACACAATTGGCAAGCAGCAAGAAATGAACCTGCCTTCTTTCATTAATTACCAGATATGGACATTCCTTCATTTGCCTCCTCCTTCTGACAACAGTCCAACATTTGCTCTTTTGATTACAAACCTCCTCCATTTTCTTTTCTTGCTCCTTTCCTTCTGTGAACACAGCTACTAATCTCAAGTGATCTCTCTTATTGCTTAAGATAATTTTCCTTTGAAGGTTAAACCCTCATTGAACACTTCTGCTAGGAAGGTCACAAGGAACTGTAATTTGTTTAGCCAGTTACCACCACTATCAAGTTACCAAGGCTCCTATTCTACCTTCCTGTTTACAGAGAATAAAATATGTCATCATATGAACATAGTAAACTTTCTAAGTAACAGACAAGAACTTTATTTTTATTTTCCCTGAGAGTATGTAGGCAGGATGACAGCAACCAGAGACTAGGAAATCAACTATAAACTACCTGACCTCACAAATAATCTTGATTTAGAACTTTAATTTTCACAACATCAACTTCAACTTGGCCTTTGTATTATTTTGTTGTTTTTCCCCTCCTTCTATCTGTACTTCTGCAATTATTAGCCTTGCTTCTTCATACTTCATACATAGCCTTCATACTTCTTCTCACCTCTTTTTGCATCACCTTATTTTCTTATTCCAATCTACAGCAGACAAAATTTAATCTTTATGTCCTATCCCCTGGCTTCCAAATCCAGCCTATCCCTGCTCTGCAGGGCAGAAAGGCTACTTTCTCCTTACACAGTAGCCTTTCTCCCTACACAGACTGTTGAAATACTGACATTTAAGTAATAAATTTTCTACATCTGAATTTAATCTGAATTAATCTGATACATGCTGATTCCAGATGCCAACTGATTAAAAAAATATTCAGCAAGGGAGATTCCAGGCTAATAAAGTCTTTGTGTTGACTGCATCATCAGATACCCTCTTTATTGGCAGTACAGCAATTTGTAGTAACTAAGCATAAACAGCAACTTTCAAAGGCTGTTTTCAAACTGACAAAATGTCACTATCATCAAGGCTACCTTCTACAAAGTTTTTTGTTTCTACTTCAGACATAGAGATCAGTGCAGATTTGTAGCAGAACACCACTATCCTGTTTCCAAAATACTCTCTCTCTCATAATGTCACATTCAAAACTACAAACAAATCAAACTTAACTGCCATCAGTTATGAAGCTCTTCATCCAAAAGGTTAAAAAAATCAGAGTTGGAAGCTTAAAGCAATCCTTGACAAATAGTAGGCTGGTAAGTTCCATTTCAGCTTTGAATATTTACATGCTTAAACCACTGTTCACTTCTTCACATTTGAGTGTAAATGGAGACTGCATAGGAATAAATATTCACATGCAGAAAAGTTAATTTTGTGATACTGAAGAAGAGTGGGAGAGGAGGAACTTTCCAGATTCGTTGTTGTAAAAGCCATTTTACAAACGAGCTAAAGGAGAAGGGAAAAGTAAGAGCAGAGAGTCAAAATTTTGAAAAGAGAGAAGTTGTAAAATGACATGTAGCTCAATCAATGTGATTAATTTGCTTCGCACTTTGCAGAGGCTTTTGCCTTCACCTTCTAATTCTGGCAACTATTCTGCTGAATCTATCCCACAAACCCAAATAAGATGGGAATGACAAGTATGGCTTTATAAAGGTCCCTTTTTGCAGTTTAGACAGTATGGACCTGCTCTCTGCTTATAATACCATCAGGCACAGTTTGACAGGAAAATCTCTTCAAGAAGCCAAAGTTGCCAAGCTGTGAACCTGTAAGTCCTCTATTCTCATTCCTCAAAATGATTTGTGACTTCAGTTAATTTCTGACTTCGGTATCTAGTTTGTATAGCAAAAAGTCTTGGTTTTAGGTGGTACTTGATTTTACAGAGCTGGGTAAGTATAAAAAACATACCATGGGTGAAGCCTCACAAACACCTCCTCCCCAACAGCTGTGTCACTTGCTCCCCATGCCTCTGGACTCTTGCAGGAAGCCCCGCTACTCATTTGTCCTCTTGTTCTGGGTCAGCTGGGAAGAAACCCCAGGGGAGGGAAATAGGGAGACAGGACAGATAAAATTTATATCCAAGAAAACACCTTTACTTTCTAAAACCATTTATGGTCCGTGCTAGCAAGGGCAGAATTCAGAGACAGCATCATGGATTCCCATGCCAGTTCTGATATATTTCTGGGAAAAGGAAACTTATTGCATGAGAAAACATAGATCTACACTTACTTTTCCCTTATTTGGAAATACTTGCCATCTACAGGCTGCCAATACTATCAAAGAGCAGAAGAAAAATCGAAAGTCAGGCCTCCAAAACAGAAATTAGTCTGCCTTTATTTGTTCTCTAACCTACTTGGTACACATCTCATTTTCATGCTTTTTCATTTTCATAATGACTTCATTCATGATGTTAAAAAAATATTTCTAGGAAAAAAAGAAAAGCTTATTTCTCATACAATCTTTTAATTTCAATACTGAAGCACTACAAAGAAAAACAAAAGGCTATGAATTCTTAACAGATTCATGGAAAAAAAAAAAAGAGAATTAGTCTAATTTTTAGTATTTACTGTATAATAGTCAAAAACCCTTCCACTAAGAATAGGACACAAAAGAAATTTGTTTGCTTTCCAGATTAGTTTTGTCTTCTTAGTGTTTATCTTCAGAAAAACATAGGCAGGCTCATGCTAATGACACTTAAGATGTGACCCCAGAAGAAGTAGGACATTCAACAGGAGTTGAGACATTAATAAAAACCTAGCACATTTCTACTCTCCCATTCCATCCTTTTCCAGGGAGATTCCCAATTTGCTTCAAAGTGGGACTTTTTGTCACACTGCCTCAGCTGGAGGTAGATTAGAAATTTTATGTGTCCCTTGATCCTCAGAAATCTTTTCAACCCTTCTTCTGCAGTAGTTGCGCTGGAGAGACTTAAGATTGTTTTGTAACTACAACACACAAACTTCTGGGAAGTCAGAAGGTATTTAGCCTGAAGAATCAGCAGATGTCCTTAATAAAACATATAATCAAGATAATCAAGATTCAAATTTAAATGTACTCCCATTTGATGCCTGATCTTTAATACAGTGGCCTAGATTCAGTGATTTCCCTGAAAGATGTGATTATTTAAAGGAAAGAACCAAGATAAACTGAAACTCAGTGTAAAGCTGTAATATTGATAGCTATTTAAAAAAAAAATCTTTTTTTTCCCTTGATTTCACCTAAAACCATAGTATTTTCCACTGGTAGGCCCTGGAAATGCATTAAGAAGTACAGAGAGGTAACTAAATTAAACTGATATGATATGAATTAATACTGGGACATAGTATTGCACTGCTGACAGGAGAAATTCAAAAGACACCAGTATAATAACAATTATGCAAATAGAGGTTTGAATATTTATTTAGTACTGCCAATAACAGGAGTACTTTTTCCCAGCTAAGGAAAATGGTGTCTGAAAGGCATGTGAACCAGTGAACACAAAGTGATTGTAGCATTTATTGCAATCAGTTACAATCGCAGTTGTAACTAACTTTTTCCTGTTTGTAAAGAATCTATCGAAGATCCGGGGTCTCCTCACAGTAAGATTTGTAGCAGCTGAACACCAAACTATGGATTAGACTGTTTCAATCTCTTAGAATCTCTTAAATAAAATTACTAAGTATCAAGAACCTGTAAAAGCTACATAGAGGATATATAGAAAAGATATTGTAATGCCTTTGCCGCTGATGACAAGGAAGGACTAATATTCTGCAGTCAGGACACTCAACTCGTCAAACAGATTTATTCGACTTCGTCCAAGACAGATGAAAATAATATAAAACCAGAAGCATATCAAGTTATCATGAGAAAATGTATGTCAATATCTGGGAAACAACAGAAAGAGAAACCATCAACATCCTAATGCCTGAGGGATTTGTGGACTAACAGAAGAACATCACCACAACAACTTCAGCTATTTGATAGGCATCCTTACCTGCAGAAGACAAACAATAAAGCAATCAAGTGGATATCCGGCAGGAAGAAGGTTAATTCAATGTTCTAAATAACAATAGTGTGTTTTTCTGCCAGCTGACTGGGAAGCAGCACAACCTTGCAGACTGCACTGGCAAGAATGGATTGGTGCCTCTTACGCTAAAATACCTCAATCTTCAATAATTCGCAAGAAACAACTGCACCAAAAAGGTATTTGCAACTTCAAAAGTTATCCTTTCACAAATCACTAGTTTTCTACTGTGCATAATAAATTCTATAATAAGCTCTATTTTAATCCTAGAATCTACAGACACAATCTGTTTTCCTAGCAAAGTTTCTTAGTCAGAGAAGCAATGAACAGACATGCTGCATTGCTAGCTTCAGATCTGATAATAATTGAGTTCTGAGGCCTGTTCTCTACAGTTAAATATGTAGAAAATAACACTAAAATTAGAACATTAAGGCAAGATGATTCGTGTCCCTGAAAAGTGTCTTTCAACATAACTAAATATTTATCCCTTACCAGACTTAATTTTACAAGTTACTCTTTTTCCTGTTTTTAAGGTTAAGCATTAATAGGGCTTTTAGCACATTTTAAACCAAAAAAGTCTCTTTGACCAATTGGACAAAGTTTGGCGAGTATTCTCTCAAGAGGTTGGCTACAATGATTACCTTTATTACAAAAGTATTCCACTTCTTCACAGCTCAGATTTTCAGGCTCAAACTCTGCAGAAAAGCTTTCCTCCAATGGAAAGTCTTCTTTTGAGATAGTATCATTTTCCTCAGACAGGCACTCTTCTTCTTCATCCTCAGTGGCATCTTCAAGGGGCCCTTAAAAAAGAATCAGGGACACTGTGGCAAAACCATCTAACAGGACAATGTGAAATAAAACCTTAGTGAATTTTTAAGTGGCATTCTTAGGTAGTTTTTCCTTTCACAGCCATGTTCAGCATTTATTAGAATTGGACAAATAACATTTATGGAAATGGAAATTGAAAGTGACTTTTCCTGATGACTTCAAATCACAATATGCAAAGTGTCATTAATAATATGTGTTAATAATAATCACACATGGGAGTTTTTCATTATTCATTGGGCTCTACTATTAAACTCAGACAGTTTTAACAGCTGAAATCAAAGCTGTATTTGTGAAACAACAAACAGTGAAGAGCTTTCTCTTGTTTGTTAGTGATTGTTTTTGATGCTGAATTACAGTACTTAAAATGTTCCTTTACAAGCTTTGTTAACCAAATTAAAAGTACTGACAACAGAGAAATACTACAAAGGTTTTGACAGCACAAACTTCAGCTTATTCTGCTATTTTGCTTCAACCGGCCCCTGATGGTATCCACGATCATTCATGCCAGACTCTTTAACAGATTCTCATCAATGGACAGGACTCAAGAGACTATTTATTCATTTCACAGAGGTCAAACAAATGTCCTGGTAAACTGCCAGTCCAGGGCTACAAAAACAAATTAGTTACAGAAACAGGGCATGAGTTTGAATTTGAAATAGTAGTCTGAGATCTTTGACTTTTCTTCTAGTTACCAAGAGATATTACTGCTACAGATCCTCTCCAAGAGACCCTACCAGACAGATTATAACACATAACACCAAGGTTACCAATTAGAATATGCTCAAAAATTAAAATCTTTCTTATATACACAGACTTCAAAATCATTGGTTAATAGTAACTATTTGCTAAAGACATCTCTTGTGCAGGATGTAGAATTTCACCCTAGATTTAAATAGAGATTTGAAATAACTGAACATATTTTAATTTAACAAAGATTTTATTAAATGTCAGTATGTTTCAAAATCCATTTTAAGACTGGATTTCAAAAGAGAGATTTCATTATACATGGTTGAGGCTTGAAAAAAAATTACGTATTTCACTCTCCAATGAAAGCACAGCCTCATTTATAATTGACTGAGTATTTCTTCTTCAAAATGAAAGCGAGCTAGCTAATGAAAAAAAATGTGATTTGTATTTATATGATAGTTTTACGGTATTAAATACAGTATTCCTATATAATCTATCATGCTGAGATACAATACATAAATGATTATGTTGTGTTCAATGAAAAGGAAGGAATAAATTCTTAAAGAAATCAAATATTGACTATACTCTAATTTTATGTAATTTATTATGAACCAGTGACTACCTACATTTATTAAAACAGCAAAATTCACTTTAGGCTAGGTTGTGTAATTCTTGCTTCAGAGGAATATGATGGTTACTTTTTATTGAAATTGATTGAGATTCCCAGCTGGGATTCCATAAATTAATATAGCTTACTATCTTTTATGGAAATATGACTCTCTGTGCCAGCTGAGAATCTGACCAAATGAGCCCACTTTTCTAGACATATACTCACCAACAGTAGCTGTCATTCAACAATATAGCTCCTAAAATAAGGGGCTATTATTATGGCTGAAGAAATAAAGATTCTCACTATCAAAGTATCCATTACTGTTAATTGCACCTTCCAGCCATGCTGGGAAAAAATCCAGCAACTGCATATGCAGAGGGAATGAAGAGTGGCAATGGCACTGTACAGAACAGAGAACAAAGCAGGAGCACACGCTGCAGCTGAACATGGGCACTCCAGGCACCTTACGTGTGTCCAGGCTCATCAAATGAAAGCACAAGGGGTTCTGCAAAAACTATCAGAAATACTACTCTAATTTCATCTCATTATCAATCTGTGATATTGTCGGCAGAGCCATTTACTGGTGTGTACTCCTAGTAACGCCTGGATAAATAAACTAGGAAAAAATATGCTATTTTAGGGAAATGTAAATTTTTGCCACATATAAGAATGTATTGATACCGTATTTTGCATCATCTAAAGTGCAGCTACAAGACTAATAAATTTTCCAAGTATTTTAAATCAGAGGAAAAAATTTAAAATATAGCCAACATTTTCAGTGAAAGTCAATTTCCTGCTGAATGACTAGCTCTTTGTTATTGACTTTTACAATGTGTCTTACAAAATACAGCAAAAGCAATTTACCTACAAGTAATGCAATTGGCATGTATACATGCCATTTAGGTCTGTTTCTAGATGTTAAACCAGTTTGTTTGATCAGGTCACCAACACGTAATCAGCAAGCTAATCATCACTGTATTTTAATTAGGAAAAGAACAGAAATGCAGTTGCTATGCTTTCATTTGCAGCAGTCATGGAAACACACCTTATAATTTCCATTGACTCCTTCCAAGAAAGGCGAAGAAATACAATATACACACCAGCTCCACCGTGCTGGTTCAAACCCTTGTCATTTTGTGGGCTGGGACTTTATTTTTTAAATCTATCTTAGACTAAAAATAATACTGACTAATGCTACTATAGATATATTCTATGTACAAACAGGTACATAATATTTCCTAAAGTTACATGTCCAAGCATTTGCAAACATAAATGTAAACACTATCACGTCCCAAGGAGATTAGAGGTGTTCATGCATCTACACCAGGCTTTGCCTTGCAGGTGCAGCCCACGTACAAAACCCAGCAAAGTTTATCCAGGCACATATGGGCACACATCAGAGCTTTACCTAACGGGGGCTGGCATCAGAGCCTGTGCCCCAAACACCAGCAATGACAAGTGCTGAAGCTGGAGGATCCGTGTACAAATATTTTTCTAGGTTTCAGGCAGCTGTTACCTTGTCTAATTCACCCATCTACCACCTGATCTTTGGAACAAATTCTGTCTTATGCATGTTGAGCTGTGTTTCATTTTTTAAATGTCAAAATACATTCGGCTCATGTCATGCCCAGAGCTGGTATTGTGTAACTGATAACTAAAGAGTAAGGCATTGTACAACATGAATAAGACCAACTCCCAAGAATAAGATCAAAATTAAGTATTTCTCAGTTGCTAGTTTAAACTCAAAGCTGGAAAGTCAAAATCAATTATTTCTGTGGTCATTATAAATTATTACCCAAACATACATGAGGTCAAAGAAAACACTAAAATCCAAAGCCATTACAAGGAGATACAGAGTAAATTCTCTATTCTTGACTACTTTATCTAATTACTTACACATAAACAGACAATAAATATTAACACATTTTCAGATTCTCACAATAAAGAGTACAGGGAACTAAATATTCTTGACAAATGCAAAAACATTAACTATGCAGGCTTATGTTTGCCTGATTTGGTCATGTGCCAGAAAAAATCTCCAGCTGATACCAATAAATTACCTCAGCTAGAGAACTGGTTTAAAGATTTATAGGTAAACTATCAAAATTGACTAGCTCCTCTATGTAGGAAACAACCTGCACAAAACTTGTGCACAAAACAACCTGCAATTTCTTACCTGATTTAAAATACTTAAATGTGTTTTAAAAAAACAGAGTTTCTTTCAACTCTTTTCTGTGATAGTGCTTTTTTCCCCCCCAGTTGTTATTATGTTCATATAATACCTTCAACAGTCCAAATATGGGTTAGTCAATTACTTTAGTACCATGCTTTACCTTCTGCATTTCTTTTAAATTGTTGATTTAATTTAATAGCATTACTCCCATTATTTAAACTAATCATGTTATTAAGTACTTGTGGGACAACATGAATTATGTCTACTTTTATTTCAACTGCACCAGGGTTAAGGTCCCATCCTGTTCTGCTGAAAAATCCTTTTCAATAACTGATGATTAAATGTGACTTTAAAACCAGTAGCCATAATGAAAATCCAAAAATTGCTACTATTGAAATTCATCTGAGTGTCACAGTGATCTGACAACAAACAGCTCTGAGATATGATTAAACTCTTTAATAATTAAAGCAGTAAAATTTCAAACTTAAGCAGTTTAAGAATTTAGATGAATACTTAATTCCAGAGATAGTCTAGATGTTTGTCTTCTCATTTCAGCAATTCTTTTCCTATTAGCAGTTCGTAAAAAATGTGATGCAATATAAGGAGAGGTCATTCTGAAATGCTTCAGATTAGCTAGATAATGATGAATAGTTAAGAATTCCCAATTTCACTAGGTAAAACCTCAATTTCTAATCTTAAATGGGAGTACTTTATTTGAGGAAAATTAAGTCTCTATTAACTCATTCTGTATTTTGCATGAAGCCCTAAAATATTCTTTTCCTTAATAAAATGAGCAAATAATCATTGCTGTACACAACAGAGGGTTAAGAGGAGTTGAGTACTTAACTTACTCACTTGGTACTTATTCCAATTCATGAATATTTATTGATATGAACACAAATCTCAACTCCTTTTGCAAACAGTAGATAAACAAGACACAGTAGAAAACAGTACAACTAGTGACAGCAATGAAATAGTCAATGTGGTAGCAATCTGTATGGCTTAGTGGACACAGTAGTCCACTTTGAGAAACCACCACTTATAATTTAATACAAATAACAGTATCCACTGAGGAGAGGCTGACGAGTGAGCTGCATGTGCCTTCATGGAGAAAATTACTTCTGATTGAGGCCACTTGCCAGCACAGTGTGGGGAAATCCGAGCTGTGCTCCCTAATTTGTACCAGATTTACAGGCACTCAAGGACATATTTTTTAGCACTATTATTAAATGCTAAATAAATAAATATTCCTAAAATATCATATACTGTAATGTAAATGCAAACGTATAGATGCAAGCACACAAAGACAGCTAGCTAAGTGCCAATCCCAACACAGTGAGTAACAGATGCTACCTCAGCACTTAAAAGGACAGGCCACATTTAACAAAACAAAACCAGCACTGCCATAATTTTAACAACACATAAGAGTGAGAGAACGAACCATCAGAAAAGGATTTATTCTCACTTAACAAAAGACACTTTTGCTACAATAAACACTCCTC